TAGGGAAAATGCTGCTAACTACCCACATCAGCCACGCAGGGCAACATTCGAGGACAAACTTTGGCATAGTTCTAAAAAGCTGCGCCTGCACGCAGGTGGGTCTGTACTATCAGGGAGGGCTCCTTGCCCCCAGCAGCATTTTCCACCAAGGAAATGGACATAACGGGACAATTTGCTACGCTCTCCAAAGCGTCCTTCTTGCACAGCGTCACGTGACACTTGCTAAGGCGAGGCGGTCACTGGTGCCAGCGGGAAGAAAGGCTTTAACTCCTCGCAAGCAGCGGAGAAGAGGCCCGGGCTGGAAGGATGAAGCGAGCAGGCTGAGCAGGGGGGTACAGCAGGGCCAGGCAGTGTGGCGGAGACCAGGAAGCAACTGTCATTTGGATTCAGGTTTTGCTAGGAAGGAAGGACTGTAAGGCAGGATTGGGGCAATATTTTTCTATGTCCTGCAGCTACCGGGGTTTTTCTAGCATTCTGCCTCCCTTTAGACAGTCGTCGACTGGAGGGTGTTTCTTGGCACGGTCCCACTTCTGCCGTTTGGTCCCTGGGGAAGTTCACACTTTTTAATATCTCGGATCAATTCTGCAAGGGCTGGTGCTAGTCAGCAATCAGAGACAGGAAGCAGTGACTCAGCACAGCCGTAACCAACACTGACACAAGTAGGAGAAGAAAGATAAAGTCCTGTAAAACACGAATTAAGGACAAACCGGTCGGCCAAGCACTCCCCCCTTACCCCACCGATTTGCACTGTACTGCCTTGCCGGCCAAGGGCCAAATGTACAAAGGTGTTCAGACAAAATCCGGCACCCGAATACCTTGGTGGAAAAGGACCTAAGCCTGCTGTAGGGGTTTGATACCTTTTTCTGAAGCATCAAGCATGAACTTGTGCCAGAGGCAGAAGTCGACCCACGGCTCTGCTGCGGCATGGGAAAACCTGTCTGCCTGCGAGAGAGAGAGAGGGGACAGGGAAGCAGGAACCGACGCTCTCCCATTGGCCTGCTTTTGAATATAAAAGGTAGATTTCCACTGGATTCCTCGTTGAAAGGTTTTTCCCAAGGGGAAGGAAGAAAGTCCACGTCCCTTTCCGTTCAGAAATGCCGGTGCTAGCTCGTGCTTGCACTGGCAGGATGAGGCCCAGGTCCGTGCTGAGGACTGCCCTTAAGAAATCCGTAGAGCGAGGGGAGCGGATGACCTGTTCGGAGCCCTGCCTCCCTCCCTTTCCTCTCCGTGTTTCGCAGGGAGCTTGCTCTGAACGGAGCCTGCACGAATAAGCGTGTCAGAGCTGAGGACCGACGGAGGCAGACACAGAGGGTTTGCCGAAAGGCTTGTTAAGGAAGCACCACTGACCATGCAATCCAATTACATAATGCTTCGAAAAATAACCGTACTAAGATCTGGGAATCGCGTCTGAGTGATGCATGTGACGCGTTTCAGCAGCAGGGAGAGGTATCAAGTATCCATCTTTCAACCCAAAGGCTGATAATATATTTATGCCACGATCTGACACTCGGCTTCAGCTATAAACTGCTCCAAAGGGGAAACTTGCTCCGAGGGGGAAGTGTCTGCGGTTCCCTTTCGAGGCAGTGCTGCACCCTGCAGTCCAACTTTATTTGAGTCCTTGTAAAATGCCCACTCGCAGAATACAAGGCATTTAAGGGGCACAGCCGCTTTGTTTTGTGGGACCTTGTGTTGGGCAAAAGGAAGGGCCGGGTAGAGAACAAGGGACCTGGGCACCAGTGCTGGCCCTCTCTACTTTCCCCAGCTCTCTGTTCCTTCAGTTTTCCTCCAACGCTTCAAAATGGCTCACTTACAATCGCCGTGCAATATGCGTACAAACCCTGAACGCGAGAAGCAGATACAGCTCCTTGCCCCGGGTGTCTCCAATTTAACGGCACAATCTGGCAAAGGACCGAGCATCTTCTTCTCCCCCAGAAATCAATGTGAACTAGAGGCAAGGTTTTCAACTGAACAGAGGGTGCAGTAGTCCAAGCAGGGTCTAGAGGATGGCCGAAGATTCGACGCTGCAGTCTCCAAACAATGCAGGCAGCTCTTGCTATTAATTTCAATAGCAGATTACTGCAGAAAAGGCTTCGGAGGAGAGGTGCGTTTCAAGGAGGGATCTGCGTGGCGAGAGGGAGGTAAACGGCAGGGTGGGGACTATTTCTAGGGTTTCCCAGAGCTTTATATGCACAATCTGCTATGTATGGCCTCATTTGCCGGATACGCGTCTCCTGAAGGTACTTAAAATCCATGTTCGACAGCAAGTGATTTCCTTCTACTTTACCAAACCCCCTCGACAGTTGGGATCTTTCTACCGAGTGCCCTTAAAGTTTACATCTTTCTGATCACTGCCTGGAAGGAAACGCAGTCCTCGTCCGGCCCCGAGCTCCCTGGTCCTGCAGCCGCGCTCTCCGCAGGGCAGCAACCCCAGCCACCAGAAGAGGGGCTGAAAGGGATGCTGTGTCCGGGGCCTTGCAAAGGAACAAAATCACTCTCCTTGATTTGCCAGTGCTTTCAAATCAACGTGACATGACATGTTGGAGCCTGTAATTTAATCTGGCAGCCGCGGTTTTGTCATCCTTGTTGTGTTTCGGGCCAGGCTGTCTGAGCCGCGGGAAGCGGCCTGCTGCGTGGGATGCAGCGGTGAGGAAAGGGTGAAGCCCGAGCTCCTCGGCCCTGCTTTCCACGCAATACGCTGCCTTCCTCCCGGCTATTTCTAGACTGTTTACCTGGCAAGCACCACATGACCAGTCCACAAGGAAATGCTGACATCACTGCGTCTCTCGCGTGTGCTCCCTCCCTCCGCTCGCTCGCTCGCTCGCACGCTCACACGCACTCTGCTACACGTTCCCGCACTCCTCCTCTCCCACCCTGCCCCATGCCTGCCGAGCCTCCCTCTCCCTTCTCTGCGTTCGCCATCTGGCCGATCCCCTCTCCCTGCACACTGGCTCCGCATCAGGACACGGGCTCTCGCACTCTTCCCTCCCTACTGCCCTATTGCCAAGAGCCGCAGGAGCACGGGAAGAAGCCTGCCCGTGTAAGACCGCGAAGCCCCCCATTTTCCTAGCAGGAAGCGAGGCCGGCCCCCCAAGTCGAACCAGGCCCCCCGCGGGGCCCGGGAAGGTGGGTGGAGAAGGACAGACGCACCAGCGTTTCGTTTCTGCGCGCAGTGGGTTTAAGAGCGTGCCTCCTCTCTGCAGGGACCTTCCCATGAAACCCCCTTTGCAGCTTCTGAGCCCCCCGCTCTTCCT